AAAGACTTCAGTGTCATTTTAGGGGACTGTCGTCATGAATTCTTGCCGTGTCAATGCAACAAGGTGTCATCAACTATGATACCCAGGATAAAACCGTCAGTCAGTCATGTTGCCTATTTTCTGTCCTGCTAATCTGCTAAGTAAAGGTAAGTCGTATTTGACGCATGCAACTTTTTTTTTTTTTTTTTTAATCTTCCTCATAAGAAAAAGACATGTCTTCTTTATGTGGCATTACCCATTCAGTTCTTCAGGTGCTCAAGCATCAAAATTACATTTGTAAAATTTCCAAAAACAGGAAAAGTAGCTAAATTAGCTTTAGCTAAAGCTACCAGCGAGTCCTAAGTAGCCCAAGTGCAACAACTGGTATTTACTTTTTACAACTGTTTATAGACAAATAAACAGTTTTTGTTGCGAGATGTCCAAAAGTTAGATTCAGTTCATAACTCACTTTTGAATAATTGTGTTCTGGTTTTAAACGAAAGAATACCTTTAACAAAATGAAGCTTTTTCCCCCATCCTTTGTGTGTATGTGTGTAAACAGTCTAAATAAAAAGGGCAGATGTTGGATGTACAGCAGTTTTTAATGAAAACAAACAAAACAAAATTACAGAAATAAAACGTTAAGAGAAATGTTACGTAATTTCAACCTGACAAGTTTGCATTTGCATATTTGCATCATAGTCATCATCATCGTCCTCATATAAAACAAGCTCACAGAATAAATACTGTACATAAAGAAGCTGACGGAGGCTCTCTGAAGCAGGAGCTGCTGCTTTTTAACACGTCTGAGGAAGACTTAAGGTTCAGAGCTGAAATTTTTGTAGGAAATATCTGATGAGAACTGCTTCGTGTCTCATTTTGTTGTTCACATTCAAGCATTTCACACATCTCCATTCAGGATTTGACTGAAGATGATTAGTTGAATTGATTGGATCTGAATTTGTGCATCACCATCTTGGGCTGTAAACTTGACAATCTGCCTAAAATTTGATCTACAATTCAAAACTAGGAAAGATAAAACTCAAAAATAGCTGTTCTACACACTAAACTATACTCCACATTGTGTAGATATGTGTGTGTGTGTGTGTGTGTGTGTGTGTGTGTGTGTGTTAAAAAACAGAAACAGCTTTGCCTGTTTCAGGGAGAAGCCTTGTGTGCAGTTGTTTGGGGCAAACTGCTCCTTTAAACACTTAAATTATTTCACTGTTTGCATGGCATTCGGGTTCAATGGAAAATGAGCTTTTATTTTGGAAGCAAAGTGACTAAATCAGATGGTTGATGGTCATTCCAGGCACTCACGCACACACTCACACATGATCTCAGTTTAAGCAGTGCATCCCTGTTTGCTTCATTCCAGTGTTGCCTCAGCATCGAGCCTCTCGGGCCTCAGTGTTGCTGATAAGGAACCAGAGCGAATAGAAAAGCAGCTGATCTGTACATTATTGCATCATGATGACATCATCGGACAGTAGAGGAAGTTCACGGCCGAAAGCTTAGTTCTCGGACAAGTCAAAGGGCCTCAGTGGAGGTTAATCGGCATCATCAACACAGATTTGACACTTGTTTTTACATGTTGCATGTTGATGACAGCGTTACTGCACCATGAGAACAAATACTGCATAGATAAACACACACACACACACACACACACACACACACACACACACACACACACACACACAAACAAACAATTAACCTGTTTGTTCTTTACTGGAAGACAGAAATGCTTCAAGTTATTCAGGAGGAGGCAGGAAGATGGACGAGAAGATACCGACCACTGGAAACCATAGAAAATCACCCGATTCTTTATTGATGGCTTCAGCCAACTGAGAGCTTTACTCAGTATTTCTGCTCATATTACAAGTATTTCTGCTCCAGTGTTGAAGCTGTGCAGCCAGTGCTCCTTAAAGAACTGTCTACCATTAAAAAAACAGTGACCGAAATGTTTATATAGAAGTTTTGTAGTAACATTTACTTCTCAGTTTAAATCTTCACAAACTTTTTTCCATATATCAATATTTTTATACTGTTTGATGTATCTTTTTGTGGGACAATGCAGATTAAACAGCATCACTGTAAATATGCTACTGTTAGCCAAAACATTGTCCCTTGGCCTGATGTTCGTCACAGTCCGAGATGATCCTTAACATGTGTCCTCTTCTGCGGTTTCTATGGTTTCTAATGGTTCTGTGAAGCTTTTCACGACTGTTCAACAACCTCCTGAAGTGTAAAAGTGCTAAATAAAGCTGTCTGCTGGTAAAACACCAGACCAACAACTAAAAGTCCTGTTAGCGCCCCCTGCAGGCTCCAGTGTTCATTACAGCCACAACATAAAGAAGCCACATACTGATGTTGAACATGGAAGTTCATTTGAGACTCTGGGATCAGTATGTGTCACAACATTGACTCAAAGGCCCACTTAGTAGCTTTTTTCATGTCTTTCAACCACATCTCAAAGTTTTCTTTAGCAAACACAGCTGGCTGAGGGTTAATCGTATCACCTCACCTTGTCACATTGAGTCAATAATGAGATTGTTGCCCTCAAATCAGAACAAAACAGACACTTTTAGCTCAGCTGGAAGACCTGCAGCTTCCCAGTGCATCTATCTGATAACCAGCATAACATGTCTGAATATTGGGCACATTTATTGCTAAATGTATCAGCAAAAACAGCACATTACCAGTAACTAAATATAATTCCTGCTGCTCAGGGTCACGCAATCCAAACAGTAACAGAGGACCATAAGGTAGGATGGAATCAAGGGAGTTGTTGTTTTCACTATCATCACATTAAATTACATGATGGATTTCTCTAGGTTTGAACACTGGTGAAAGATATATATCATCTCCTTTTCAGACATTTTAATGTGGAAATGTTTAGTCCTCAAGGCAACTCCACTGGCAGCACAGACCAGCTTTTTATGGTAATGTGACCCTTTTAAATGCCAGTTTGGGCTGAAAACTGCATTTAAATTTATTATTTTGTTCACCCGGTCGAAACCCTCCAGCCCGAACCGAGCAATACAGACACAATCTGGAAAGCTCATCAGACTCTTTTTCTGCTCTGTCTTTCATTATTTATCTTCTTTCCAGGCCATCCTTTTGCAGAAATTATGTACTGCTGACGGTTAACAAAATAGTTTCTTAATACTAGAATGACTGTTATATAAAGCTGAAAAAGAATTTAATTCCACATTTACAGCAACTTAAAAGGTGATGTTTGGTCTCATCAAGGATCCAGCTCTCTGGTGTTTTACATACTTACAGAGCTGCAGCAAAGCTGTCTCTTTTACTCACAGTTTCTCCATAAAAATGCCACATTTAAACCTTTTAAAGTGACTGAGGACCCAAATGGCCAATTTGTGATAATACCTGGCAGGATTCCATGCTGGGATGTATTTACACACTCACGTGATTTGACAACAGCTTTTGTTGTCTGTTGTAAAATTTAGCCTGCAGAACGATACTAATAAGCTCCTGACATGATTAAATGATTCAGTATAAACAGAATACAGACTACTGTGGGTAATAGGAATCAGGAAATGTAGGCTATAAAGTTGCAGAACAACTAAAAAACACTAACAAATCAACCTTGTTGCCACCTCCATTCACCCATAAAGCCTCTGAGATGCAGTTGAAACATCAGAATAAATTTAGTAAGTGGACCTTTCAGTTTATTTTATTCTTGACTCTTATCTGTAATGGGGTCAAAGGAAAACATCTGTTTCTCTACCGATGCGCTGAATTTACAGACCAAAAACTCTTGATTCAAGCGGTTGTTCGAAAGTCAAGAAAAAGCTTTAGGTACGTATTTACAACAAACACTGTAAAATAAATTATTAGAGCACAAAAAAGCAACCGGACAAATCATATTAATATGTAATATTTTGTTTTGCTCATGGAAAGTGAGTAAGCTTAATTGAGGAAAACGTTGCTGCTGCAAGTTGTGAGAAGTTCCAGGGTGCGTTCCTTCGGCTCTCTCTTTGAGACAGTTTCAGTGAAAGTTCTGCTCAGATGCTTCAAAGTCCAGAGGGTTCAGTTCCAACAGGAAGGTTGAATTAAACAACAGCAACAGTGTTCAGGACTGAAGGCCTTTTTCACTGTAAAACCAGGAAGTAGCCTAGTCCAGACTCCAAAACAAGGCAGCTGAGACAACAGGAACAACAGCAGGGACGTCAGTTGAAAGGATAACAAAGTGTCCTGACATGTCTTTCTATTAACGTTTATGTTTTAGGTTTTTGCCAAGTCTTACTAAAAGTTATGCCAAGAGAAAGTTGAGCTAAATTCGGCTGCGATCATTTTGGGATGGAAAATGTTTCCATTAAACAATAACTCTGGTTAACTCTAACCTGCCAGGGCTGCAGCTACCATTAACTAAGGTGGTGATAGTCTGTAATGTTTTGGTTTTTCATTTTGCCAAATATACACATAAATTACACCTTTTTAAAGTTGATTTTAATGGGTTTTTTTTTTTTCGTTTTTTAGCCAAAATAAATAAAATTTTTGCTGTTTAGTGGCAAAAAACTAATAACTAACAACTAAAATGATATTTGGTGGGCAGTGTAGAGAACACCATGAAGATATGACTAAAAAAGAATAAAAAGGGAGGATTTCTGCTTATGTATATATATATATATATAATTTGGTTTATTTTTAATTGGAAAACTGTCCAAAAGAGATTTTCATTGCCAGTGAAAATTTTCCGAGTTGGGCAGTGTGAGCTGGTGTTAATAACTCGACCTTATTCCTGCAATTTTTGGTTCTATTTTCATAGTTTTGCACTAAATTCATGTCACTGATATTAACATTGTACTCAGTGGGTTATTAGGTGGGATCTGTGGACACGGTCACTTCACTAAGAAGGTCAGAATTGCCAAAAAAAACAACCAAAAAAAACACCAGCAGTGACTCAGACCATCAGACAGATTGAAAACGGGCCAAACGTTTATCCAGATTATCTAGACCGGTTTATTTGGAGGTGAAACTAATAATAGTCCCACAGCAAATACAACATTTCCTCCTTTTTTTTTTCTTTTTTTGTTTTACAGGTTTACACCTTCAGCAGGAATAAAGGATTTGGAGCTGAGACTCAAGGATTTTTTTTGACATTAAGAAAACTATAGCATAACTTTTCATAATAATTTATCAGTTTCTTTTTCAAAATATTGTAAGTTAATAACACGAGTGCAAGGATGTCTGAAGGAAGACATGAACACAGCTGCAGTAGTATTTGTTCATGATGGTCGACGCCTGCTGAGTTTTCTGACATCTTGTTTGTGCTGTTCAGCTCCTCAAACCTCGTCCAGATGCTGAGGAACCAACGGGAGCTGGGTTCTGGGTCCAGATCTTCACGTCCACCTTTCTGTCTGGTTTCAACACGAGTTGCATCGACAACATCGAGTTTAAACTCACCATGTTGAGTGTTTTACGGGCTGTTTGGGGTTTTGGTTTTAGATTCTGTTTCTTGTCATCTCAATCATACCAGAATACGTTAGAAGAAAAATCTAGTTTTGTTCTTAGCTTATCCAGGCTGCCATAAACCCACATTTGCCATGAAATGTTTTGGAGTTTTTGTTTCTCCTATACCTCCTGTTGGAGCATCATGATGATGTAAGACAACAAATGAGCTGCTTTTTTTTTTTCAATCCAAACACTTATTGCTTTCTACATGATGTCGAACAATGCTGTGATTCTTCCAGGATGCGTTTCCATGTCTGCATCAAAGAATTCCTGGTTTTGTGGTTTGTGTGGGAACCCTTCTGGTTCTGTTTAGGTTCAGGTCTGCTGTTTATTTAAAGCAGCAACTCCACAGCTGTCACCTTAAAAGACCAGACAGAAGAAGAAGCAGGTTTCCTCCTCTTGTGTCTCTTTGTGAAGCCTCTGTCTGGCGAGGAGGGTACAGGTTTGAATCCCTGCAGTCTGGATGTCTCTTCCTCGTAGCTCCAGCAAACAGCAGGTCAGAGGTCAAAGGTCGCTGGTTCGACTCCCCGCCGCTGCCGCCAACATCAGTACGGCGTGAAGAGAATCGATCCTTGGCTCGCTCTGATTGGTCCAGGAGCCGGACGCAGGAAGGAGGCAGTGAAGAGGGAGGAGGAGGCCGGAGGGCGAGGGTGGAGGGAGATGGTGGGGGTGAGGGGCGAGGAGGTGGGAGTGAGGAGGGGGGAGGAGGAGAGAGAGACGGGAGGCAGCGAGATGGAGGAGGTGAGGGAGGATGTGGGAGGTGCGAAGGGAGTGGAGAGGAAGGAGGGGGAAAGGGAGGGCTTCACCAACTCCTTCTGAGGGAATGAGGAAACAAGGAGAGGAGGAGCAAGGAAACAAAGAAATGAGAGTAGAAGAGACAAGGAAAGGAGAGGAGGGGAGACAAGGAAACATAGGAGGAAGAGAAGAGGAAACAAGGATATGAAGAAGCAGAGATAAGTGGTAGAGAGGAGAGGAAATAAGGAAATAAGAGGAGATAAGACACAGAGGCAAGAGGAGAAGAAACAGAATGACAAGGAGAAATGGAGGAGACAAAGAAACAAGGAAATGAGAGGAGAGGAGAGGAGAGGAGAGGAGAGGAGAGGAGAGGAGAAAAGGAGAGGAAACAAGATGAAACAAAGAGACAAGGAAACACGGAGAGCAGACGAAGCAACAAGTAGAAGAGACAAGGAAACAAGGACAGAAAACAAGAAAATAGGGAGAGGAGAGGAAAAAAAGAAAAAAGGAGGGGAGACGAGATGAGGATAGAGGAAACAAAAAAGTAAGAGCAAAAGAGACAAGAAAAGGAGAGGAGGAGAAACATTGAGAAGAGAGAAGAAAACAATGAAATGAGAGAAGGGAAAGCAAGGAGACAAGGAATCATAGAAGAAGGAGAAGTGGAGAGGAAAGAAGGCGATGAGGAAATGGGGAAAATAGGTAGAGAGGAATGGAAACAGGGAAAGGCGAGGAGAGACAAGAAGAGGAGGGGAACAAGTTGACAAGGAAAATTGGACAGGAGACAAGGATATCAAAGGAGAGGAGACAAGGAAGAATTAGTAGACAAAGAAATGGGATGGAGGAAGTGAGAGGAGAGGCGAAAAGGAGAGGAAAGGAGAGGAGAAAGGAGACATAGAAACATGGGGAGGAGACAAAGAAACAAGTAGAGATGATAAGGAAAAAAGGACAGAATAAAAGAACACAAGGAGAGGAGAAGAAGCAAGGAGACATGGAACCAGATGAGGAGTACAAAGGAGAGAAGAGGAGAGGAGAGGAAACAAGGAGAAAAGGAAATACATAAAGAGGAGAGATGAAATTAGGGACTGCATTTACTCCCATGTAATGTAGCTTTGCTCTCTGAGCGACATCTGGCACAAGAATTTCCTTTCGGATTGATAAAGTTTTATTTTATCCTAAACTGTTTAATTAAAACACTTTGTTGTGGTCTCATATATTAGTATTTATCTGTATTAGACTTTTTTGCATCATGTTTAATAAAGTAGATTCAAAGGTAGCGAGACACTCACAGTGAGCGAGCTGCGCTGCTGCTTGTTGTAAGGACTGTATTTGGGTTTGCTGGGTTTTCCTGCCACTCGGTCCTTGTGCCTCCTGCTGGAGATGTGCTGCAACAACAACAACAAACACATGACGCAATAAATGTGTAAAACTTAACTTGTTGAGCCCATACCTGGAAGTAAGTTTTATGAATAAAGTAGTCAATAAGACACTGCTTTCATATCTCATATGCATTTTTCACTAAGTGTTAGTAACAGCTTTAACAGTGTTGGTTATTCAAGTGTCTCCATGAGGCAGTGAATCAGCACAAACAATACAAGGAGCCTGAAACTGTAACTACTAAAAAATATATTTAAAAAGGACACAATTCTTCACAATTAATTGACATTGTTGCAGCTGTTTGTTTTTCTTTTACCACAGAATGCTCAATTATTATCCATATACTACCCTGTAAACCTCATCCAGCCTGCTTTAGCATTACTTTACTTAATTATGATTTATAGCCATGTAGCAAAGTAAAATGAAGGCATTTTCTCAGATAAAATGAAGCCTTTAAATGTGAACAATAACTTAAAATTAATGATGCACATCATTCACATATAATTTAAAAAATAGAATGCTTATCAGGTTGCTGAAATGTCAACGTATAGGATAAAATCTACACTGCATATCTGGTAATCTACAATAATCCTTCTTGTTTATACTTGTAGATAATTTGTTATTTGTTAAAATACGTTAGTGCAAAGAAAGCAAAGGAAAAACTGGGTATTAAAAGAAGCTATAAAGTAAATAAAACATGAATTAACAAGTTGCATTTGAGTTTTCAGTGTTTCAGGTTTAACATTTAGAAGGATATTGTTTGGAGATTCAGATCTGTAAACTAGTGTTACTATAAGGGTAATGGATTTTCATAAAGTTCCAACCTGTTTCAGCTGGATCTCAGAGTTGACGTGGACGTCGCAGATCTGGCAGTGGAAGGTTTTGTTCTGCAGACCGGAGCCCTTCAGAGCCGAGCTGTTGCCGTTCTTCAGCTTGGCTCCGGGTCGAGGGTACGCTTTGATCGGCCCAGCGCCACTGCGAGCTTCCAGCATCGTTTTGTGCTTTGAACCTGGAAGTAAACGCACACAAACCCTCTGTGAAACACGACGCATCATGATGAACGCCTGCTGCTGTTTCATAGTGTCGCAGCTGTAAGGTGTTGCTTCTTCAAACAAAACCTGCACACTTCATCTTCCATCTGTTTTCAGATCGTTTCTTTTCTTTTCAAGCACCGACTGGTTTCAGTTTATTTCTATGAACCTGCAGAGACTTGAAGCTCTCTGGAGGATAAATAATCATCATTATATGGCAGCACAAGCGAAGAAACTGTGTTGAAAGCTCTCCCTGCTGGTGCATTCAAGGACTCACATTAACATTTTCATGATGTTTGCATCTGATTGTTGTTTGTCTCCCCGGTTGATTCATCTCTGCAAAACTTTTCAGTGGATGGCAGTCAGATTTCTGATTTTAGAAAATGTCTGAATGTCGTATAGAGTGCTCCATCACAGCTGGATATCTACCCTGCGGATAAGCAGAGAAACCCAACAAGAGTAACATTTAATAGGATCATATTTAGTATTCTGTTTTTTAAGCACGAGTAGTTACCAAATGGCTCCAGCAGGGGGACCACAGAGCTGCTCAGGAGCATTGAGGGACACTTTGTTTCCTTCCTTCAGTCTTAAGAAACACGATTTGTGTTTTTCATCCAAATACCCCCTTTTTTCAGGTATCACTCATCTCATACTAATGACTCATGTTTACAGGGGTGTAAGCGAATCCATAGATGCTGAGACAACTGCTATGTTTTTGTATTTAAAGAAATGAAAAAAGTGAAAATTGTTAAGCTTTCCACTCAGCAGGATGATTTCATGGCATTTCAACCTTTTGTGTTTCCCTTTAAAGTGACTTTTGTGGCTCTATGGGTGATACTAATCTTGCAAGCTACACCTCTGTTGTAGAGATTTAAAGAAACGAAGAGTCACACAAAACAGTGTACATCTGGACAAAATGTGATCTTCCTGCAGCTTTCCAAAAAAACAGTATCTTTCCATGAATTATTAAAAGGGACCACTTTGTCATATTTTGGGAGATTTATCAGCAGAAATGGAGCATGGAATTCATAATTATGTTCTTCCTGGTGAAGCAGAGTTTTTTCTTCCCACTGTTATCAAGTGCTCAAAGGAAAGGAAACTTCAGATTTGTTGGATTTCTCACTACTACTGTGAAGTGCCTCGAGGTGACACATGTTGTGAATTGCTGTTGTATAAATAACACTAAATTGGATGTTTTCACTCGTGTATATTCAACTGTAACTACAAATCATTGTGTTTTCAATGCTATAGAACTAGCCCTTATATCTACAACTTGAGCAGGTCTTTTGTTTCTACAGCAGACCAGAAAGGACAAACCAAATACTGACTCTGGAGTAGGTTGTTCGTATTTTCACATTGAAGTGACAGTTCTCCTACATGTTTGGAAAAAAAGGGCTGATTCAGGAAGCTGCAATCTGCAAACTCACTACTAGATGCCATTGAATCCTACACGCTGGTGCTTTAATTGTTTGTTAAAACAGAAATTAGCCGCCTCAGAGCTGCACTACGAGGCACGTTTTTCATAGTCAGGCTTCTGTGGTGTAAACCTAAAACTCCAGTCTGAGATAAAGGGTGTCATACACGGTGTTTATCAGTTTTTTGACCTACTTTAGTCAACTGATTGCAATACTGGAGAGCTATGAGGAAGATTGAATGTATCATGGCAAGTGCAAATGATACAGGAGAGGAATGCTGGAAGAAAACTGTTAATCGTTTGAGTAAATAAATGTATTTTACTGATAATTACAGCTGCTTGTTTGTCACCTGACAGCCGCACATGACTCTTAAACTTTAATCTTCATTTATTTGAATTGACAATTAAGAAGTGTGTTTAGGTCTGAAACTGCCCCATAATGAAGGAAATCCCTTTAGTTTTGGCAAAACCAAAGTGAATGTTACTGATGGATTATAGACTAATCACTTTTATAAACTCTGGTCTATCAGCCTGCAGGGTGGCGCAGTTGGTAGCACTGTTGCCTCGCAGCAAGAAGGTTGCCGGTTCGCGTCCCGGTGGGGGCACCGGAATCTTTCTGTGTGGAGTTTGCATGTTCTCCCCATTCTCTCCGGGTTCTCTGGCTTCCTCCCACACAGTCCAAAAACATGTTGAGGTGATTCTAAATTGTGTGAATGTGAGTGTGCTTGGTTGTCTGTCTCTAAGTGTAGCCCTGTGATGGACAGGATGTCCCCTGCCTTCGCCCTAAGTCGGCTCCAGCCCCCCCGCGACCCTAATGAGGATTAAGCGGTGTATAGATAATGGATGGATGGTCTATCAGCTGCAGTACCAGCAGAATGAACAAACTTGGCAGCAACAGGCCCAAGCATAAAAACACATTTATGCATTTTCTGCATCACTAACAGAATGCATGTAGGTTTCCATGGTAATGTAACACATACAGTTTGCCGTCTGTAACTGCATGATTTCATTCAGTTATATAACTGACGTACAGATCAGCAGGTTTGCAGATTCAACGTATTCCCTCAGTTGAGAATCTGTCTGACTCATAGAGAATCATAAGGACACAAACTGTTAAAAACGAGACACTTCTAACAGCCAATTTAAATGTGGAACTCTGACTAGATCCTCCTCCAGAGAAGGTTAGTGGTGCAGCATCAGTTACCATGGTGATTCAACAGGTTAAAAGAGAGTCACCTTTGTGATACTGGCTCAACATACTTAGTGCACCTGTTAATTTCACGCTGTAGTACAGCCCTCTGATGCTACTAAATCCTACAAATAGGTCTTGTAGTTGTTTGTTTTGGAGTCTGACAGAATGTAACACAAACATTAGAAGGCCAAAATGTCCATTTTGCTAATCGTATCAAGGATCTTCATCCAGGACAACTCCAACATTGGAAACGTTAGTGCAAGAGGTTATGCAGGTAGTCGGAAGACATATCTTTTTTTTTTTTTTTTTAACTTTTTTTTTGGCAGAGGACAGACAGGAAAGCAGGGGAGAAGAATGAGGGAAGGAACTGCAGCAAAGGGCCAGGAGCAGGACTCGAACCCACGGCCTCTGCGTCAGGGACTGTGGCCCCTGTACGTGGGACGCCAGCTCAACCAGGTGAGCCATAGCGGCGGCCCGGAAGACATATCTCTTAATGTACATTTTCTATGTTAATATTTCTACGCAGTCTACTGATATGTGCTCGCTTAAGTCCTGTAAATACTGAGCAGAGAACAGATTGTGACCATCCAGCCATCCGTATTCATAGCATGTGGTTATCTTAATAATGCATTCTTTACACACAACCTGAGACAAGTTAGTGTTTGTGCACTTTTCATACAAATACTCCCTTTTAGGACTTTTCCACACCTTCTAGCTGCATATTTTTATTCAGGCTTTCTCCTCTTTGCCACAAAACAAACAAAAACACTGATGCCTATCACTCACGCAAAGACAGACCCATTGTGAAAATGTGAAGATTTCACTTCAAATCATAAGTTTAGCTTTGCAACTATGGTTTAACACTTCTTTAGCAAAACACTGAGCTAACAAAGAAATGTACTTATGTTCAGAGCAGAATTAAATCTTTTTTTTTTTTTTAAGTCTAGCTTTGTCTTTCTTATCTTGACAAATGCCTTTGTTTGAGTTGCCCTCCAGACAGTAACCTCACTCGGCTGCTGTTCACTGTGCAGAATGATGTATGTGTTTACATTCATCTGCAGAAGAGGGGAAAGTTTCTCTGTGCTCACTTTAATTCTATGCAGTTTAAACAGCGTGGAAACTTGAATTCTGCTGTGTGCATACGCTAAAAATGGACTTTTAAGTGTCGTAGGAGAGATCACATTTCCATATTCATAGATTCTGAATTTTTCTATGTGGGAGGAGAACGTGGAAAAGCCATCAGACAGAAATTATCACCGAAGCGATAATTCAAAGCAGATTCATTTTTTTTATTTAAAGCAGCCACTTTAAAGATAACTGCTCGTCTTCTACCAAACTAAAAGTGTAAAGGTTTTAAAAAAGGGGTTTTCACATGTCATCTTTTTCCTCCTCACCTGCGTTATGAGCCTCCAGCTGAGACAGAGAGTTGACGGCGACTTTGCAAAGAGAGCAGTACAGCAGCTTCTTCGCCTTCTCCTCCTCCGACTCCACTGAGAGGGGAGCATCCTGGGAGAGAGGGGGAGGGAGAGGAGCAGGGGAGGAGGTGGAGGAGGTGACAGGAGCTGGAGGAGGTGGAGGGGAAGCTTTGGAAGAAGAGGAAGAGGAGGAAGAAGAGGAAGAGAGGCCCGGGGCTGGGAGAGCCGAGGGAGGGCTGGAGGGAGGAGGCTCGCTGCCTGCTCTGCTGGAGGAGGGTGAGGAGGAGGACAGAGGGGAGGCGGAGGGGAGGAGGAAGGGTTTGAGCGGGGAGGGAGAGTCGGTGAGGCTGGATAAGAGTTCTGGAGGGAAGAAGGAGGGAATAAAACAACATCAGAATGAAACATCAGCAGTAACAGCGTTCAGATCAGAGCTACTAGAAGGTAAAATCAACCTGTGTGCTGACTGATGCTGCTGTTCGCTGAGGCCGGATGGGCGGGGCCCGCAGGACTACAGCTGCTCCCATTGGTCTCTGCACTGATTGACAGCTTGGCCTTGGCCTTGTTCTCCTGAGACTTGAGCTTCTTGGCGTGACGACTGCCTCTGTAATGAGCCTCGGCCTGAGACTGAAAAAGAAAGGAACAGAAAGACAGCAGAGTTGAGTTTTTCTCTCTGGACTCATTTTCTAGTCACACTTCCAACAGCAAGACTTACAGAAATCTCTCATTATCCAAGTTTCCATAAAACTGCCAAGCGAACTGAAGCAAACATTTGAAATGTTGCATGAAACCAAAGAATATGTTTCCATGATTTACTTTGGAGTGAAAAACTACACTGTGTAGTGTCAATAGAGGGTGGTGCTATAAGATGACTCTCACAAACAGAGCAGAAGAAGTCGAAACAAAACCAGTTATTTGCCAAATGCTAAAAAATCTTGAAGAAGAGACAAACCAAACTTTGTCCAACTATGAAAGACAAATGAGAAGTTCTCAGGAATCGTTTCAGTCAAGAAAGTTGTAATTATCTGTCACGTTGGCTGGTTTTGGTTGTGATTCATGCTATCCGGAGGGGAAAACAACAAAAGAAGTAAAAATAGCTGATCAGCCATGTGGGTTAAATATTCATTACGTCAGGATTTTCCATCTCCTGTTAACTCTCTTTTGAAAAAGTCAGAAGCCACCTCAAGGAAACATAAAAACTCATGCGCGAAATTGGGGAAGATGTTTCGCGTTTCCATTAAATCTTCTTGATGCACGAATTCAAAAGGCACAAAAAATACATCATGGAAACTACGGCTGCAACGATTATTTCCATTGTTGATTAATCTGTTAATAGTTTCTCGATTAACACGTCAGTCGTTTGATCTAGAAAATGTCAGATAACATTGAAAAATGTCCATCAAAGCTTAAGATGACACCCTCAAGCGTCTTGTTTGTCCACAACTCAAAGATATTCAGTCATAGAGGAGCAAAGAAACCATAAAATATAAAAATGTAAAAAGCTTAACTTTAGACAGTTCACAACTAATTGATTAATTGTTGCATCTCTAATGGAAACATGACTATTGAGGAGGTCTCTTCAGCAACCTTACTCCTCAGATTCAGCGTTGCATCTGCACTTCTTCCTCACTCCATGCCTCCACTTTTTTATTTTTTATTTTCAGACTTGTTGTCTGCAGATCTAATCAACATTGACGCAAGTGGTAATTTATTAGACTTCACGTATCTTCCTCTGGACCCCAAAAGACTTCACAGAACTTTTTTTTTTTTTTATTACATATGCAGTCGTACTCCCAACACCTGCAATCACACTTTGATATGTAAATCATTGGAGTTCCCCTATAAAGATCCAAAAAGTTGAATCCTCAATGACTTCTGACAAAGTTAAACAAAATTTTAGAACAAGAAAGCACAGCAGTGTTTCTATTACTGTAAATACAACCGAGTAATAATTATTAATGATACCCATCATTCTTCTGTAGCCTCTGCTGCTTGGCTGTGTCCCCACAGACAGTATAAGGTGAGTAATGTGCACAGCAGCTCTGGAGGCATTCAGGTGCAGCATTGAGTGTAGGTCACCTGTGTTTTGGAAACCCTCGGAGCACAATTACTGTAATTACATTGTAAAAAAAAAAAAAAAAG